GTCCCATCAGGAACTGTACTTACCAAAACACTGAGAAATTGACACTTACCTGAGACCTGGGACACTAATTTGAGAAGCTATTTTTGTTATATAGCTGTCCAAACATGCTTTTTTCCCTCTGGGAAGCTGTGACGGCATTCACAATACTTATTTTTATAATGTGCTAAGTGGAAATCGGAACAACAGCAGCAAAATGCTCAGGAACAACTTGTACATCCTAAGGCATATAAGTATGTAGAAGAGTGAGAACAGGCTTTCATTAGCTTGGCATCAACGTAATATACCAGACAGCTGTTCATATTGAGCTAACTGGGCTGTAGTTAATTCCCAGTAAGGACAACTGAAAGTCTTAAAAACCATAATAAAACAGGGACTCAATCTTCAGATATGTGCATCAGGGAGCCACTTCACAGGGTAACATTTGACAGGTATTTTCCTTCTTCACAGCATAAAAGTGGCCCGACGATCCCCAAAGCCACAAGGTGGTTTGCAGAGAGCAGCTTCCTGCTGCCATACCAAGCAAGTATGGGCAGCACGACCCTTCAGGCACACAGCACACCCTATAGACTGGCCACACCACACCCCCGCCTGGCGTTGGTGGGCCGGCCCCGGGTGGGACACCTGTGAGCACAGAGCTTCCTGTGCCTTGTGGCATTGGCAGACTGGCGGTGGACAAACACGCCCATGGCCCATGCTTGGGACCTAGCAGTCCTCCTGCCACCGGACCAGAGGCATGCCCAGCCCATCAACAAGATGCAGTCATTGGCCCCACCAAAAATGGACTCCCCATCATACTGTTGTGAAAACAGGTCCTTCAGCCTCCTTGCTGGAGCCTATACACTTCATGTTCTCAAAGGTTTTTCCCAAACAAAACAATTTATGTGGTCCATCGCAGCCAAAACATTTCTCATCCCAAGTCTGCAGAAATCCCAATGGGCTGCACTTCACAGGATGGGACTGGACTGTGCATGTAGCTGTAAAACACTTGTGACAAAACAAGAGCTTAATTACATTTTAGAAGAGACACTGAGGTTCTTCCCCTCCACTGCTAAGTTAATAGGTTTCCAGTATATTTTTTTAAAAAATCCATCAGAATCTGGAAGCGGGTGCTCCTACAGTTAAACTAAAACTTTGACTTACTGAGCAAGGCTAAGTAACAACCCCTGAGTTGTACTGCAATATGCAAGTACTAAAAATAAAAGGTATATTATATTAGGTGCTAGCCGCTATCACAGTGACCCGTATCTTAGGGTTTCAACTGCATCTCTGCCACAGAATCCTCCTAAAGCAGACTTTATTGCCAAGCTTTTATATATGCCACTGTTCAATCAACTAAAGCAGCCTTCCATCAGAGAGTGTGAGCAAGATTAGGAAGTACAATGGACCTATTTCAAGTCTTCTAACAGCAAGGGGCATTAACACAACCTCAAGAAATGAAAAACTGAGCCAAGAGTGAATGTTCAAAAGAAAATGCAAAGTTTCACAATACAAGCTGGTTTTCTTTGCACTGGACAATTCTCAAGGTGGCTATGTTTAAAGGTAACTAGATTTACTGAAATGCATCAGTCATGCTCTTAGTATCAGCATTTCAGCCTTTGAAAGGTGAACACGTCTAAAGGGGTCAGACATGACACAGAGTTGCTTTCTCAGCCAAGTGTGGATAGAAGGAGCAGGTTGTGAGACAGAGCTGGCTGGCCCAGCCCGGGAGAACAGGCTTTGGCAAACACAACTACTGTAAGATGCAGATCTCCTCTGCAGAACCCCAATAATGGAAAAAGCATCCAGGTACTGAAGAGGTAAATGCAAAACACAACAAAAAATACTGTAACAAGCAAAATGTGAACTTCCTCACTAATTGACTAATTTTCTTTGGAAAGAGGAACAGTTGAGTTCAGTAACAATATTCTGACACTTCCCTACCAGAAGGATGAAAGAGAGGAAGAGAAAGCTCGGAAAAACACTCATGGATCCACATGACTGGATGCAGAAGAGGGGAGGGAAGCCCTCCAAAGGCCTGCCCTGCAGAGCTGGCCAGAAGGCAACAGCTGGCTTAGGCCACATGCACACAAATTTCTACATAGAAGTCAGGCAGCTGGAGAAGCAAGGCTAAGCATGAAGAACAGACACCCACAAGCCACCTGAGAAGCAGAAGTATGTTGCTGCTTAACAGACATCAGTTTGGCAATGACATCCCCACCAAGGGCTGCCCTTGGATCTCCCAGAGAAGCAGAGGGACAGGGGAAGAGTCACAGAATCACACACAGAATCACAGAATGTTAGGGATTGGAAGGGACCTTGAAAGATCATCTAGTCCAATCCCCGTGCTGGAGCAGGAACCTAAATGAGATCACACAGGGAGGGGTCCAGGTGGGTTTTGAACGTCTCCAGAGAAGGAGACTCCACAATCTCCCTGGGCAGCCTGTTCCAGTGCTCTGTCACCCTCACTGTAAAGAAGTTTCTTCTCAAGTTTAAGTGGAACCTCCTCCTGTGTTCCAGCTCACACCCATTGCCCCTTGTCCTACCATTGGGCATCACTGAGAAGAGCCTGGTTCCATTCTCGTGACATTCTCCCTTAACATATTTATAAATATTAATGAGGTCACCCCTCAGTCTCCTCTTCTCCAAGCTAAAGAGACCCAGCTCCCTCAGCCTTTCCTCAGAAGGGAGATGCTCCATTCCCTCAGAGCCCAGAGGCACAGGCAGGCTCTGACACCAGGGGGCTCAGCCATGTCCCCACCCAGCCCTCGCATCACCACGGGAAGGGTCTCTTACTCTGCAGCATCCTCCCACTGCCCAGCTCCAAGGTGCCACCAGGCAGGTGCCTCCAGGGCAGTCTGGCTGCTGCCTCCCATGAGAGGCATCACTGTGGAGGACATGTGCTTTTCATTCTGAACAAACGCACACTTTACATATCAGAGTTAAAAGATTTTATTACCCCATGGATTTTTCTTAGGAAGTAAGAGTCCTACCAGACAAAATATACAAAGCATCTTATGTTTTCTTTCTAGACAACTGCATTCATCTATGAAACAGTGACCACATTAGTTCACCTTAAAGAACCAAGGTTTGTCCTTACAGCTGCGGGATTGCACAGAGTTAGCATATTCAATGACCAGTTAATTCATGCAGAATCAGAAGGAAGGGAAAAAAAGGTCTGTATGCTCACCTGAGCGCAGGCTTAGGTTCCTAGAAATGAAGAGAAATACAGGGCTTAAATTTACCAGCTTGCAGTACTTTCATTAAGTGAACCAATTCTCTGACCCTTCTTGTCATCCACTCCACAATGAAAAGTTAGGGCTAGTAGCAAGTTACCACTGGAAAAACACAACACTAGAAAAGCAAATACTCTGGCAGTGGGAAACTTTCCTTACCAACCTGCATTAAGTGCACATAATTCTTCATTTTACATCAAGCTTAAAGCAGAATGAAACCAAGATGCCCTTCTCTACCTGTTAAAACTTAGTGTTTATAGTTGACTATGTTTACACAAAAAAATAAATTCCCAGTCTCTAAGGACATACTAATTCCTATTGCATTACATGACCATTTTGAGATCCTGTTTCGTTTTCACATAATTAACTCACAGTATTATTACTTAAAAGTTTTACTCTAAAATATATGCACTTTTTTTGGTTCTGCTGAGTTAATGATTGTACTTGCATTTACTTTATCCTTCTTCTTCTAAAACAACAAGCTCATTTCAACAGATGGTGAACAAGTCCAGATTTGCTGGAAACCAATTAACAAGAATGTGCCAAGCTGAAACTCACTCTATTCTTTCAAGCCAAAAAACTGCCTCCATTTCAAGAACCTAATTAGTTTTAACTATATTTATGGAACAGAAGGAAGAATATTTAATTAATCTGCAATTCTTCTGTCTGATGATCAATAGG